TCGTTTATGTATTAAATTTAATGTATAATCTTTTATTTATTTACTTTGAATTCAAATAATATTTATTTATGTTCGTTTAACTTGTTCGTTTATGTTCGTTTAGCCCGTTCGTTTATGTTCGTTCATTTACGTTCGTTTAGCATGTTAACAAATGAACATAAACGAACACGAACACACCTTATTTCTAAACGAATGAACACGAACACAAAAATTTCCATTCGTTTACCGTTCGTGTTCGTTCGTTTGTTCGGTTAAGTTAAATGAACGAACATGAACAAGCCTCTGTTCGTGTTCGTTCGGTTCGTTTACAGCTCTACTCGTCATCGTTCCCTTGTTCGTTGGTTTGGTCATACTCAGAAAATAGCTCATCACTTAAACCTTCCTTCCGTACGAAGTTGTGAACCGCAAAACATGCAATAACAACGTCTCTTTGAACCTCAAATGTAAATAGTTCTATAAAGAGTCATCATCTGAATCGCTAATAGATGAATCTTGTTTGGCAAAAAATAAATTTGTCTCTTAATGAATGTAAAAATGATTTTGTATCATGGGTCTCCCTTGACCATTCAACATCCCAATTTTATTGTAAATAATTACCGAACAACTATATTTTATTTTATACTATATAATGAGAGCCTATTAATTATTCTGACCACTTAACCATTCAACAACTATCAAACAACCCTTTAATTTATTGAAATCTTGGATTCTAAACGGATAGTTCTAATCTAATCGTATCCGAATCCAACCAAAAAGCTACGGCTGATTTGATTTTAATGACGGCTGAATTATTAATCATGTCCAACCTTGCCACGTAACCACAATTACCTTTTCTTTTTCCTTTTTCTAAAAGGAACAACGGGTTATGAAACGTTTATCTAATAAGTATTTATCATGCCATTTATCTTATCAGATGACATGGCAAGAGTAGACGTTAAGAACGATGATAAGAATGAAGAGTCTAAAGGGTTGTTTAGAAAACACTTATCTTAATAGGCGAAATATCGTGTGAGAATGAGAGTTAAGATGAGAAGCGTGATAAAAGATTTGGACCCTTTATCACATTTAATCTCAAACCCACCCAGGAATCGCATTTGATAGGAGAATTATTTCGGTGCATCTCATCCTAACATGCATCCAAGAGTGAAGATCCTTTCTTACGTTTCTCACCTTAACTCTTCTTCTCATAAGAACCTAACCCTACCTTAATAAGCGTTTACATATTCAATTAACTTACCAGATAAACATGACAAGAAGCAAAAATCTTAGTCGATAAAAGATAAGATAAAGATCGAGAGTCTAACCGGTAAGTGAGGATGATACTCTTTGCTGATAAATGTTACCAAGTTATAAACGCTTACCAAATTCATTTTGATGGTCGGGAATATTACCCATAAGACATTGAAAGTGGTGAGTTTTGCCTGTAGGCGTTCGATAAACAACCCTTTACCCAGTAAAAACTAACCGGGTAGAATGTTGCATGCGATACCGTTTTCATGGACTACAATCTTACACAATAATATAAATTAAAGTGTTAGACTAAAATTGTTTAAGAAATTGATTTTTTTTTATCTAAAATAAATTTTTTTAGACTTGAAATAAAATTGTTAAAATTTATGATTTTTTAATCTAAAATAAGTTTTTTTTTCCCAACAAAACAAACAAAATCAATTATTGATGGAGTTATGGTTTTCAAACTAGATGCTCAAAACTTCTATTTTGACACCTAAG